TAACTCGTGATAATGTAAACCTGTTGTTTGGCTTCTCTTTTCAAATTCGCCACGGAGAAACTGTGCTTTCAACTCCTAATGTGTTGACTGAAAGTAAATTATTCTACTTTGAACATAAAACACAAACCTAACACAGTAAGGTATCACCAGTGTACCTCAACTGCATCTGTAATGTTAAGCGTCAAACAAATATCACTGTCTCTCTCGGTAATGTGGTGATTAAAACCGCCAACTGCTGAATCAATGGAAAACGAAAACAGTAAAAGTGCTCCATCCCCCCCTCCAAACCTCAACCAAGAAGAACTTCGAATTAATTTTGGGGAATTCTCAAAATAACTTAAAGTATTTTTGTGATACAAATAATGCTATTATGGAGGCAATGTTTTTCATGTGGTGTGCAGCCAAATTCACTGTCTCCCCGAAAAATTGCATCAATGAAGGCTCACAACAACAACTTGATTTTGACGAAAGCGTGCTTCTACCTGAGTTTGTCCACACCGATTGGGCAGTCCGGCTGTTGCAGAATGCACCCGAATACTAATGTACTTCCTCAAATTGTGGTAAAATAAAATACAGCATGCAGGCAACAATGCTGATACTTGCTTGTGAATAACGATTCGAAATTCTTAGCCGAAAAAGTACCGCATTTTTGAGCCCACGCTGTTGCTGTACCGTAAGCAGAATCACTGGGAATCGATAAGCTAATCGAATATGCCACTGCAACTTGGAGAAAACATGTTAGCTGCTTTCCAAACTGATTATTAGAAATGTCCCAGTTGTGCCCAAATTTCAAACGCTCTCATTCAACATAGCGCAGCTCGATAAAAGCACCTGATCAAGTTTCATCAGCGCTTTTTAACGTCCCAATGCGTATGTTGTGGTGGATTAAAAATTACTAATTGAATGTTGGCTGTCCCTGATGTTCATTCAATCAACAGAAATCAATACGAAAAATTGTGTTATTGGTGTTGCCAGTGTAGGAAGTAGCTCCTCAGAAATGTAAATTGTAAACTTCAATTATACAGGAACAAAAATGATCAAAAAGTAAAAATAAAATCTTACGAAAACACATTCTAGGTAACCACAACAAGGAACTTACACCAAATACTAGGCTATTTTGATACTCACTAAGAAATAAATCTAGTTTGAAACGGAACAGTCAAACTGATGTAAATAGTGGTACGAGTGATGCATCGTCATGGTTTAAAATAAAAGTGCTGTTTGAACCTCCAATTGTTATTTTGTGCAAATGTGCTTTCAATTATGCTTACGAAAACGACACTTTGTTGATTTCGGCACCAAATGCTGAAGTTCGTGGTTACCCATAAGATTTAGGTCTATTACACTAAAACCGAAATCTGGTCTTAAAATTATCAGGTTTTTTTCCTAAGCATAACTTGGTAATGTTTTGATAGCTTCCAGGGAAGTAACTGCGCACTTTTCAGATCTTTCAGGAGTATAGTTTCCTTGCATTTAATACATCACACTGGCAAGAATTAGTGCGCATAATAAGCACGTGAGGATTTCATCGATTGATCTCGATTGACCTGAAATAACTTACCTGAGAGATCCAACAAACCATAGGGTTAGGAATTTGAAAGTTCCGAATTAGGCGAAACTGACACCAACTGTGGAATTAATTTTGAGAATCAAGTAATGGGTTGAATTCATTCAAAGTTGTCACTTGTCAAAAATACTTGCCTTTCTAACTAATCCTTGTCAAATTAATATTCCAATTTTAACCGCAATGCGCATATGATCACCGTGTCTTCGGGTAAATCGTTCATCATTAAATGTAGCGCTGCATATGAAAGAAAAAAACAAATCCAAGTTATTGTGAAATCCAATCTAAATCTTAAAGTATTTATATTCCCATGGAAATCTACCCATTGAGTGTTTACGTATTTCATGCCAATCGTAAGTAGCAATCCTTGAGAATTCATTCCTGGACCACCCAATATTCCGGATTGTGTTTACCTTGCAGTGTACGTGATTCCGCATGAAACTAAAACGAAAGAAACATTTGTTTCGAATAATTGTGTCTACATGTCCACTCAAAATCCAGAGGTTTGTTGGTGGCGATCCATCCGGGATGCTAAAATACTACACAATTCTAATGAATCTCAACCGCTCGGAGTTTTAAATTTAACCTTCACACCATATTCACTGAACTGAATCTTAGTCTCTTTCTTCAAAGATTTTGGTTCAAAATAGTTGTCAAGTTAAATGTATCACACATTTTGAGTTATTCCGGAGTTTAAGCAACAGAATATTAGGTTATCTTGCTTGGCGGAGTGTCACTTCATTATTCGGTTTCTATTTTTGGTAACATACTTGACCAGTGATAGATTCAGAACTTCAAGAAGTGTTCCTCTTGTCTCCTCAATAGTTTAGTATGAGAAAGCCATATGACAATTAAAGATTGGAGAGGTTTCCAGGGGACAGTAAATGTCAACTATACATTTGGCTGTATCAACTGAAATTTAATACTGTTGCTTAT